TTTAAAACTGTAAAATCTTTCCTGCTTCCCAAAGAAACCAAATTGGGAGAACTACTGATTTAGTTCTGGTGGCTTTCCATTTTTGTTTCTGTCAACAACTACAAGCAACTGAGCTTCTAGACAAGACAGGAAAATGAACAGCGCTAAACAATTGTATTATCTCAGGCCAGTCCAGTGGGTAAAAGTAGGAAAAAGCATCGGAACATTAGCTCTAATGGCTTTCCAGGGCAAAGTGCAATGGCTATGAAGACACACAATTAGCAAAATCATTTGTTCTGACAGACACTGCTGACCGGCACTTCATATAGGGACTGTCATGGAGTTGCGTTTCCATATGAAGTTTACTGTTATGACTGGAAATTCTCATGAGCACATGGTCCTCTGTTCACAAAGAACCTGCAGAAGGATCGACTCTCCCTTCCCCCACAGCCCCGTCTCTCTCCTTCTATCCTATGACAAGCTTTCGGAAAGAGCACTGGGCACTTTGGGTCTCCACCTTACTTCCCATTCAACTCTCAACTCTCTGGCAGGCCGCCCTCTCCTCTTCCAGCCTCTCCATCTCTCCATTGAACTCATTTCACTTGTGACCTTGCTTGACCTTGGGAGCATTTGTTATTGTTCAACACTCCTTTTTCTGGATTCTTTTCCTCCTGGCTTCCTCTGACAGCACCCTCATCTGATTTTCCTCTGCCCGTCTTCCTTTCACTAGCTTCTCCTCTGTCTGCCTCTTAAGTGCTGGTTTACTTTCTGGTTCTTTCCTTGGCTGTTGTCTCTCCTTCCTTAGCACTCTCTATTCAGTCTCAGTTACCATATCTTCTAGGCTTTACTCAAAATCACACACTAATAGCTTCCAATCTTGAGCCCAGATTTCTCTGCTGTGTTTCAGACCATATAGGTACCCAGTTTCCTTACTGGATGTAGCAGAAAATGCTGGTGCTCTGCCCAGACCCCCTTGGGTTCCTTTCAGTATTTCTGTGTCTCACAGCTCCCAGCACGCTCCTCGCGCTTGACCTTGTGGCTATCCTCGGATTACCAGAGTAGCAATGCCTACATGCATGGAGAGTTGTAACTTCCTAAGAATTGATGTGCCTGGCCCTGACCCCCCAACCTACCTCTAGGTTTGTGCCACTGTCAACTCTTAACCAGTGACTGTGGGGTGCAGAGTATGAAAGCCCAGGTCCCTTGTACTGAGTGGAGTGTTGGGTCTGCCAGGAAGTGGATGCCAAGATGAAGTTAGAAGTGCAAGTAATTATTGGAGAGTAATGCCTATGAAAGGGAAAGGAGAGACAGATTAAGAGTAGACAAAGTTTAGACCATGACACAGGTCTGACACCTGTGGAAGGCGAGAAAGGAAGGAAGATTGGGTAGAAGGAACCTCAGACTGCTTTGCAGCACTGATTAAGTCTTGGCCCATCCAATGGGGTGGGTACTCCAGTGCAAAGGTTGTAGAGGAGTCCTAGAAATGATGAGTCATTATATTAATAATTATACCTCTGTGTTCAGTTGTTTGCTAGAGGCTGCCTGGGAGGCACATGCTGTCAGCTGGAAAGCTGAGAAAGAAAGCTGGAAAGAAGCACCAACAGCTAACTGCTAACAACTAATCGTATTCCTTGTGGAAAGCTTTCTCCTGAAGAGAGATCTGAGCTGCTTGTTTGATTCCATGGCTGCCACAGGTGAGGAAACTGTGAGATGTTATCTTATCCATCAGAATTCAGGCAAAAGCCTGTGTCCTATGGAACTTTTGCCAGAGATCACATGCTTACTTAACTCCCTCCCCTCCCTGTCCTGTTTCCCCCACTTCCTTACTACTGTCCCCTGGTAGCACTTCCTTTCTAAACCATGTGCACGTGATTCTTGACTCTTAATCTGTTTAGGAGAACCCAACCTAAGACATGGATACATCTATTTAAATATTTTACAGAGTATGTAAATACAACCGTATCAAAACTGACACATCATCTTCTCACTTAGACTTTCCCTTCTCCACAGCAATGGCACCTCCAACCACCCATTCACCCAAGCCTGCCATCTGGGCACCACTTTTTGATCCCTATCCTTATTCTGCACACCCAATACACAAACCCTATTTCTTCTTACTTATTCAAATTTCTCAGATCCATAATCTCTTCTCCAATCCCACTGGCGTGGATACTATATCATCTTTTTGCTGGATATGGTAACATGTCCCTCAGTGGTCTTGGCTTCCAAGTTACCTCCCCACAATCCATTCTCCACACTGGAGACAGAATGAGCTACCTAAACATACAGGGGGTACCTGGTGGAGGTAGAATCTGTAAATTGTTGTACGAGTACAACGGTCGTTCTGGAGGTTGCAAGCAGTCTCTCCATTCTCTAGTGTGAAATGGGGTTTACTGAGAATAGTCTATCACTTTGTTCTGGAAAGAACTTTTCCAGTTGTTTCTTTTGGTGATGTAGATATAAGCAAGTGTCAACCCATTATTTTTGTAGAAGTCTATGTAACGGGCACTTTTTAACTCACCAAGGTCCTGGGGCTTAGACACTGTTGGTACATATAGTAGGCAGCATTCCTTGTTTCAGATAAATTTAACCAGAAGGCCAAGCTGGGGTGGGGGAGTATTAAGTGGAAGGAAGTATGTTTCTCAAGTTCATGCTTGAGTCATGGCTTCTCCAGCTCCAGCCTATGTGGATAGTCTTGTCCTCTTAGCAATTTCTAAAAATGAAAACTATCTCAGTCTTATCCCCTCCATAAAACATTAGATAAGACAGAAAATAAGATCAAGGCAATGTTTGGTTACGGTGGACATTCTCTACCTCAAACTTTTTGGGGCTGTTAGCCTAGCTATGCTTTGGGGACCAGTCAGTCAGAGACGTATCAAGATTCAGTTCAATAGTCTCATTAGTCTTCTTGCCAACTAGAGAATTAGCTCCTTGGGGGCAGGATCTTTGTCTGCTTCAGTTTTTATTCCCCTTAAGTTTCTAGAATATGGTAGGTGTTCTTGTATTTTTGTCTGATTGACAATCTGAGTCTTTCTACCCCACGTTGTAGAATGCTTATATTTCAACTGCCACGAGATAAGCACCAATCTTGAAAAAGTAAGGAAAACAGGAATAATTTTACAATTTTATAAAATAATGAAGCTAGTTTTTAATTTGAATTTAGTAGGCATTATTCAATCTGCAAAACTGTGTTCTATCTATTTACTTTTGAAGCACTAAGTACCCTTATGGACCTGTTTAAAGATCAGTGTGAGATGAGTATTTTAGCTAATTTTGTATCAATCCTTTTGTGGTCATCAGTGCAAAAAAAAAAATCGTTCATAAAACTCTCCAAATAGATAAAGAGAAAAAGATCATGAAGGAATGTGGTTGATGCATTTATTCACACTAGCAATACAGATAGTCTGCACCAACTAGAGAAAACAATCACTTGTAGAAATTCAGTCTATGATGTATGCTCAGGTATTTACATAGTTCCCAAGCAGTGGCAAACTAGTTTTAACATGTTTGGTCGGCTGCAATGATAGGCTAAAGCATACAAAATGAAATTCAATGGGGACAAATGAAAAATACCACTCAGGGATATATAGCTTATCTGAAATAGACAATTTAAGAGATTTAGTTTATTTGAAGTTCAAGGTAAATAAACAATGCAATTTTGCTGCTAAGAAAACAGATTCTATCTTAGAGTCCATTACTAGAAGTACAGTGTCTCAGAAAATGTGTGGACTGGTGATTGTTTCTGAGAGCATATCAAACCATACCTGGAATACTGTGTTTAATAACAGGTGTGGCTTTTAAAGATGGACATTGACAACCTAGAAATGTTCCTCTGTTGAATGGAGAAAGTGAAGGTTGTGTTCAAATTCACTGTAACTGTTATCAGTAAATGGAGATGTGGTGAGGTGTCCACTGCCCTGTTCACCCACCTCTGCCCCTAGATAAAGCAGAGAAATAAGATAGGTCTCTTAGAGTCAAACCATAAAAGTCAACACATATTGGATGAGAAGAGAGAGGTCCTAGGCCCACACTAAATAATACATAAAGGGCTATTTATGTGAATTAAAATATATTAAACAAGTCTAAGGAAGAAAGCATCAATTAGAGAGGTGAAACATGGAAAAAAATCTGAATCAGAGAGAAAACGATCAGTCATACCTAGAGGAGCCCTGTCCAGGGCAGAAGGGGTCTAAAGCTATGGAGGTTCGCAGATAGTCAGGGACATATCTATTATGATTGAAGTATATATCCAGTTTTTGTAGCCTGATGCCATTAAACAGTCAATCATCTATTTCCTTGCGTTCCGATCCTGTGCTCACCAAGCTACCTTCTGTTGACAAACTGACTTCCCATCTAGGCTTGCCTGAAGCAAGGGAATGTGCTGGTGTGCCATCTGAGTATTCTGGGATGCATGACAGTAATAGCTGTCATTGTAAATGAGTCTGTTGGCACTCTGTATCTCATGGGCTTGGCTAATGCGATTCTGCCTCAGAGGGTCAGAGGCACTCTGGACATGCTTATAGAATTTGGTTTTAGAAATTGCAAAGCTGGGCTGGCTGAGTGGCTCAGTTGGTTAAGAGTGCGAACTCTGAGCAACAGGGTCACCAGTTCAATTCCCACATGGGCCAGTGACTCTGTGCCCGAGCTGAGCTGCTGCTGAGCCGCCAACAGGTGCCAGGATGGCTCAGCTGGTGAGAGCACGTGCTCCTAACAACAAGGTTTCTGGTTCGATTCCCACATGGGATGGTGGGCTATGCCCAACCATAACTAAGATTAAACATGGCACCTTGAGCTGAGCAGCCGCGAGCTGCCGCCAGCCGGCGGGATGGCGACTGGATTTGGAGCTGAGCTAGCTGTGCCCTCCACAACTAAGATTGAAGGACAGCAACTTGTCTGTTCCCCTTCTCCAATTCCCCCACACTGTTTCCCTTCCCCAATTCCCCAATAAAATCTTTTTAAAAAAGAAAGAAATTGCAAAGCTGAACCATGGACTCTGGATCACAGCAAATTCGCCAAGGTAACAAATTCTACTTTTCAAGGGTTCTTTGGAAACAAAAAATTCTTCTGGAAATCAGAACAATAACTTCCCTGTGAACACCTATAGCAGGTATTGTCATTTAATTCTTAGATATTGTTTCATTAAGCCTTAACTTCTCTTCCTTGGAGGGGCTGATTTGCTTTTGTGCCATTCACAATATCCAGCACATAGAAACTTCACCAATCAACTAATAGCCTATCCCTGACCACTCTAGACCTGACTACCACTCTTCTTAAAGTTCAGTGCTTTACATCCCTCCACCCCACTGAAACAAGCAGGACTAGCCCCTTCCTCCGCACTTTCCTCACCCCACCCAAGAATAGTTACCCCACTGTGTGCTACAGCCATCTCTCCAGGCTCCTCGTACTCTACACTGCAGACCTCATGCTCCCCTCTTTCTATTCCTGAGTCCTTGTTCTCATAGCCTCTCTCATCTGCTAAGTACCCTTGGCTTGCTGACTTCCATGAGATGGTCCCTGATACCATCTCCTCCATTGGCTCCACAATCTGCAACCCATGGGCAAGAGGTGCCCTGTCCCTGTGTCCACCCCAATATTTTATATCCTCAGATATTCCATTTGTATTTTACTTCCAGCCACACCTTAGAGCGTCTGAATCTCTGCATGTTTGGGATATATGATTGGGTAATGCATCCCACAGAGCCCTGTACAGGGTAACCCTTCATCTAATGTTCATTAACTGAATAAATTAACCATATCATTTGAATAATCTATACATATTTTGGAGAACATTAAAGAGATGAGAAGGCTTCTTAGGAAGATGTAGTTGAAGTCTTCAGATGCAGTGAGTGTTATGTTGTGTGAAGAAGGAATTATGCTTGTTATGCACTGAACGTGAGGAAGGAATGGACAGAAGTTTCATGGAGGCAGAGGTGCGTGTATATGTAGGTACAAGGGGTTTGGACTAGATACCGCCATCCTTCCTTAGAATATAGCAATGCAAAGACCTTGGTACCAGTATTGCTATTATCACTATTCACAGTAATATTACTACACTGACATTAAAGTTTGTCTAGCACTTTATAGTGTATGAAGGGCTATTTATATGCATTATATCATTGAATCCTCCCAATACATCATGAGGCAATTTTTATTGTGCTTTTGCCATTTTACACTCAGGGTAACAGAAGCTCCAAAAAGTTAAAAATCACTGATCACAGAGTCAGTAAATGGCAGAGATGGGATTCAAAACCAGGTCCTCTGGCCCTAAATCTCCTCCCCTCCATTTCCCCTCAGCTGTTCTACTTACACAATAAAGCTACAAAAATGAACTCTGTTTGGAGGTCCAGTTCAAGTTGGGATCGTAAGTGTTAAAAATCATTTAATGTAAACATGTAGCAACATCATTTCCTTCTTCTACTTTAATGTGGACCTCCTTTGTGCTACAATAAAATGGCCGTAAAGAATTAAGCGCCAATATTTTCATTTCTTAGAGAATGCCATTTGGTTCTCTTCCTTGGCAGGCTGTCCACTGTGGAGAGTGGGCCTCTGAGTATTTCCCAGTGTGCTGCAAACTGCACACGTCCCACCTATTCAGATGAATTACACTAGCTCAGGAGCCAAGGCAAATGTTAGACATTGGTCCCATAATGGACGCTTGCAATTTTTCTGAATTTCTTTTGAAACACTACACTAT